AAAGTCACAAGAGACGAACAAAACAGAAAGCCTAGCGCTGCCTCTCAACTCAAAATCAGTTCTCCCAACGCCTGATTTAGAAATACTGGAGTTGTACCCTGTGTGCGCGCGCGGCTCCTTTCCCCGCTGGTGCAATGCCCATCTTCATCACTAGAGGGAGCGAGTGAGCCATGGCAAGGCTTAGGGTAATAATAGTCATCAGCCCAAGGGAGTCTCAGGTCCCATCTCCACCGAGTCTCCAGTACCCAGCATGGAGCGTCCTGGGCTCCAACTGCAATCGCTTAAAGGAGTTAACTACCTTTTACCTTTGGTAACTGTGTGTGCATGGAAGATCTTCCTGTTCAGGTTGCAGGTGTAACACAGCAGGTATTTTGAAATGGGCAGTAGGCTGGCGCTCGCTTTCAGAAGGTGTGACGCTAACCATGATTTCATGACAGAAAGTGGCCATGCACCACTAGGAGCTATGGCGACTCTAGAATTTGTATCCTCAACTCGAGCCAGTGACCACTTCCTCCTGGGAGGGCCCTGATGGGTCACTACTGGACAGGCCTCTGCAGTGGTCTAGGGACAAGCTTATCACACAGTCGTGGCTATTGTTTTCCCACCGCAGCAAATGGCATCTGGGATGAAAGGAAGCCACGTCACACAATGTCTGCAGTCAACGGCCTGGCTGTATGGTTCTGCTACACAGCCAGATGGAGGTAGGTGTGGACAGAAACGATGACGTAGGTGAAACCCATGGTTCCCGTACTGGGCTTTGGGCTGGTATGAACTCTGTATTATAAGCATGGGAGAGACTTGGGGAACAAGGGAAGGCTTTGGGGAGGGGGGGCAGGCCAAATGAATTAAAGAAACTGGTTAAGGCCAGACTGAGGCACAGCTTTAAGAGCAAGCTTCTATCAGCTCCTTGGTGCTTACACTGTGAGTTAATGGTCTTGGTTTAGCCGCAGGAGCGCGGACTTGCTTGCAGAGTAGAGCACTGGGGCCGGACAGTAATTTGTAGAGATAGCCACTAGGTGTCACTGCCCCGCCACCATCTGTCCAGGGAACTTTGTTGGCTGATGGCCAACTCCGCGTAGGCGGAAGGGGCTTTTCATTTTCACAGCTACAGCATCCAAGGCAGAGAAGCATCTGCTCCCGTACTGTGGGGAGAGAGAGCAGCTTGACTTACTGCCCCAGACAGTGTGACTCTCCGGCTGTTGTGGGGTGAGGAGGTCTTTTTCATGGCGATTAACTGCTGCCCTCAATGCTGGCTGCTGATTAGACGTTAGGAACTGGCTCCCCAACACTGCCGTATGAAAGAGACCTTAGACGTCTTTGAGCCAGGGTCTTAATTTTTGGAGAAGAGGCCCAGAAGGAGAAAGCTTTTCCCTTAGGACATACGGTTGAATAGAGAAAGAACAGACCTGGGCCTTAGGCCAGGAGGATCCAGCTCAAGGCTCTGTCTAATCCACCGCGGTCCCGGCTTTACAGCATGCTCCATCAACTAGGCTTTTACTGTTCCTAGAGCAATCGCTGGGTGTTCTTTGTAGCTGCACAGAACTGTAAACTTGTGCAGACACAACATGCCATGGCTTATGATAGACCCAGCCGGTACGTGTATCAGGGGCAGCATAGCTAGTGAACAGGCGATTTTTCTCTCTTTGGTCAAGAGTGCTTTACCAAGACCACCCACTCCTTCTGGAAAAAAAAAAAAAAAAAAGACGGAGGTTTCAAAGATGATGGGGCAGTTCCGTAGACAGCCCATTGTCAAACGGAAGTGGAGTATACACGATCTGAGGGCGCAAGCCAGTTACACCAAGAAGTTGCCCGGATGCCTACATTCTCTACTCATGTTACAATGCCTGCTGCTCTCAAGCATGCTCTTACAGCCTCGTGAGGTGTGCCCTACGGTCGGTTGACTGAGGAAGGAAGACTAGGGCTTGGTTTGCTGCTGGTTCTACGCAGTGTGCGGGAAGCACCCAGAAGCGGACGGCTACAGCATTACAACCCGTCTTTGGGAAACTGTCACTAGGGCAGAAATTTAGGCAGTACAGATGGATGTATATTTTGCTGTGGCACCTCAGATGATACTCCGGCTGCGGTCCTCGTAGGGGTCACTGGACCCTCGCTGGGGCAGGAACCTTGGGAAGGTAGAAAAGCTGAAGTTGCAGTTGTGACCACCAGGGGGCAGTATCTCATCACATTCTACTTGCTCAAGAACCAGTCTCCCAACCCTGAAGAAAGTTCCTTCTTTCTCAGGGATAAAAGTGTTTCCAATTACGTCTGGGTGCAGAAAACGGATAGGCACATCAGCCTGGACTTGAAATCCTCCTGTCAAAGTGCCGTTGAATCCTCTCACCTGCCTCACGGCTCACACCGGCAGCTATGGACTGAGGCGTTCCTGTGTACACCTTGCGTGCGGTCCTTCCAAGGCCCAGAGTTACTCAGGGTTGCTCTCTGAGGGCATTCTGTGGTCCGAGATCAAAGGATATAGAGTTCCATGCGTGTCCCCACGCGGCCTGTGGGCTACACAAGTCTCGGGAGAGCGGCCATCGTGTCCAAACACATTTGTAAAATGATGATGGCGGGTCACAGCATCACGAGGCGGGGCACTCGGTTTTAGAGATACTCCAGTCTGTGCGGTCCCAAGCCAGTGTTCCCTTTCCTCCCATGCCTTCTACCCGGCTGCACAACTGGGGCCCATTACCCATTCCGCACCCGTCTTCTCAGCTGTGGCCAGAGCCGCTCTGCCGCAGCCCAGCGCCACTGGCGCACTCATTATTGACCATTCTGCCGGGATATTAAGCAGTTTGGGCTTGGCCGGGGGACCATTAATCAACAACCTTGTCAGAGTGATGGATTCTGTTAGGATTATTGCTTAATTAGCTTGTTTGGGGCGAGAAAATCAGCCAGGACATTAGTTCTCAGCAAGCCAGAAGGAAAAAGGGAAAGTGAGAAGGTGGTAGGAAGGGACCTTGAGGCTCTTCCAGGTGGCAGCCAGCGTCTTCAACAGGGTGTGGGCGGGGACTCTCACAGAGCAAGCCTTACGCTTGAATTCTCCGGACATTTCTGCTCGCTCTGGCTGTCGCAGCCCAGAGAGACACCCCATTCAGTGGAGCTGAAGATCAGTGATTCCTGACATGTTAGTCAAGGACCATGTCCGTTCCTGGGATCTTTAATAATTCAGATCCCCAGGCCTGGGTTTGAATTTGCTTGATCGGAACATCTAAAGATGTTTGTTTTGTTTTGCTTTTAAGACAAGTTTTTCCAGGTGGCTTTTGTTCACAGTGCAAGGTGGGGGCCTTGGCCTCGGAGGTGTGAGAGCTACTCAACTCTGGTGAGGGATGAGCAGGCAGGTCTACATGACTTTCTACCGGATGTGCATCGCAGGTGGGGTGGGGGTGGGCTTCATTCCCGCACCTTTCTTCCCCTTCACTACTCTTGGGTTTCTATTTTGTCCTAGCTCTTCCGGCTTTGCTTATATTGCTCTCTGCCATGCTTCCTCGGCTTGCCTGCCAGGTTTTTGCTGTTTTTTTGTTTTGTTTTGTTTCTGAAGTCCTCTTCCCAGATCTTACCATCTTCCATCTTTCCTTCTTTCTCTCCATCTTCTTTTTCCACCCATGAAGGGACTATTTCTTGGTACTGGGCACATTTTACACCCCTCTCTATATTCTTTTCCCATACGACAGGGACTGGAAGCCCAAGAATGGCTTTGCTGGGAGAGAGTTCCAGATACAATTGCAGGCCCACCAGTGATCTGTGTTAGTGTGGTGTCTGGAAGGCAGGAGAAACCTCGTCACCCAGGGAAGCTGAGTCCCAGAAAGCAGCTGTAAAGGCATACCCAGGGTCCTGGGGGTGGACTCCTTCAGCTTTGCTTCTCCCTAAAATAGAAACGAAGCCCGGCTTCGATCTCAGTTCCTCCGGGTCCGTGGAAGGTAGGCACTATTCACAGCAGGAAATCGCAGAGGTTTTCTCATCAGTGCACTGTGAGGAAGGATCTGGCAGGACTGGGGGCATCTGAAGTCTTTAGCGGAGCACACTGCCCTAGCTTTGGGGCTTTTTTTGACTTCTGCTGAGGGATGCAGAGAACCCCGAGAAGGCACGGCATGCAAATATGCCTCTGCTCTGTCCTGTGTTGGGTTGCCAAGCTCCAGACAGGAAGTCAGAGTCTATGTCATGGCGCGGCCAACGAAACGACTAAAACCACCCTGAAATGTGTGAGTTAGTTGGCTGTGTTTGTTGTTTGCTTACTGGATGTGGCCACTTCCAGACGGTGACCTTGTTCTCGGCATGAGTGTGTGCGTGACGGAGCACCTGCCCATGCCATCTGTTTGCTGATGGGGTTTTCTCACAAAATCACACTCGGAAGGGTTTTCACCTTCCTGTCCTTTCCACACAGACCTTTGCTGTTCCTGTTGTGGTTTAAATCCAAAATGTCTCCCTCAGGCTCTTGTGTTGAATGAATACCTGTCTTCCAGCAGGTGGCACTATATAGGGGAGGTTGTGGGACCTTTAGGAGGTGGGGACCTGGCTGGTAAGTATAAGGTCTCTAGAAGTGGGTATTAAAGTCTAAACGGTCAGCCCTTGTTTCTGGTTCTAGCCCACTATGATGGGAGGAGCCTGTGCCACATTCTCCGTCAACACCACTATCCCTTTTCCACCATAGTAGACTAAAATCTGTGATGTAAATCAGAAGTTGTTCCCCGGAAGTCCCATCTATTACTGGGAGGTGCTTCCACAATTGAGCTCTTAGATTGTACAACCTCAAGAGTAGGTCTGGCCTGGTGATTTTTTTTTTTTGAAATGACCATGATTCAAAATGACCATTTTGAGATACCCAAGGACCTCATGATGAACGAGGAGGAGGAAGGCGCCTACTTTGCTGGCTAGATTACCTTTTCCCCAGCTGTACTTTTAAAACCAGATCTAAAGTTCTTCTTTCACACCAAGAACCTTTTGTAGAAATAAATTTTATTTGGACATTTAGCTGTGAAACAACTAGGGTGTACATACAAACGGGTGAGATTATTTGACAAATGCCACTGAGTAGACCATCCCCGGGTCACCAGCACCACCGAGGGGCATAAACTGGATGGCTCTGGTTTTTCCAAGAGATGGATTTAGAGAGAGGGGATGGAGTGTCAGCTTCTTCCTCCTCTATCACAGCAGTAGACATTTCCTGTTCTGTTTTCCCGGAAGTGCCTACTGATGTTGGAAAGTGCTTTGATGCCCTTGGGGCCTTGGGTTTACCAGAGCCCGACTCAGCTAGGAACTCGGCCCAGGCTCTCGACAGACTCTTTGACTCCATTTCAAATACCAGGTTTAGCTGCAGACCTGCCACAGACAGGGGTCAGCACCACTCCAGGGAGGAAGCCAGTTCCTTGAGTGACCACCAGGAGCTTGTCCTAGAGAAAGACATAGAATCTCATAGGCAAAAGGTCCAGGGAAGGAAAGAAACTGTTTCTTTCTTCAAGTGACCATAGAGGTCCGGCTCCATTTCCACAATGATAATTACAACCTAGCAAACTCAGGAGGTTCCCATGTGAGAGTGACCGGGTCCCCCACAGAGTCCCCTGATAGGTGCTGATGCTCTTCTTTTCAAAACTCCCAGAAGATCTGCTCACTCTGCCTACTGGGATCCAAAGTCCAGCTTGCCCAGCTCTGTGTGTGCCTGCAGCAGCATAGACAGAATGTTGGGGTCAGCCCCTGTTTGTCCTTCTCTGGGCAAACCAGACAGCTCTGCCCTCTGCCCTCTGCCCTCTGCATGCTTCAGTCTGCTGGCTGCGGTCTTCTGAGGAAGGGGGGCTTTTCTCCAGTGCACATGGCTCAGATTATGGGACAGCCCAACGTAGATATTTCTCCCGCACCTAGAGAATGTCCCTGCCCGTGGCAGTTAGGACCCCTAGCTTTCCTTCCCGGTTGGTCTTCTCTTCTTTTAAGTCTTAAACGTTTGATTTTTCTGGCTTTCTCCTACTTGTTATGTTTGTTTCCTAGCAATAATTCAATTTAACACATACGATTTGAAAACTCAAACATTACTAGCAGCCGCGAAGGAGAAAGGGCAGATTGCTCCGTCCTGACTGTCCTTGGTTCTCCTCTGACTTGCTTTGGAAGCTTCACCCACAGTTTAACACAGTGAGCTGAGACAGTGGCAATTCCTCACTTGCCAATTTTAAACCCCCATCGATTTCTGTGATGGAAGACAGGGCTGGGTGTTCTGCACCCACTTTTCTATCTCTATCGTCTCTCTCTTCATTCTTCTAATATATTTATATTACACTTTTTGTTAAATCAATATTTAATTTCTACTTTATTACAATTATATATGTACTGTTCACTGCTGGGCGAAGAAATACTCTTGGATCACATTTCCTTTTTTCTGTAACTTTTTGTTCCTCCAGGAGTTACTAATTGCCTCATTTTTTTTTTTTTTTTGGTCTGTATAGTCTGTCATTATCTTAATAATTCTTCCAAAAGTCTCCAGCAGAATTTCAAAGCTTTCTGCATGATGAAGCCATGCAAGGAACTATTCTGATTCACTCTTTCCTCGGTTCACCCCCTGCTCCCCTAGGGACTTCTTGTCCTCTGCCTTGTGTCTACCTCTGATAAAGGTACTTTTCCACTGGTGGGTGTCAAGAGTCCAGATCCACCCCCAACAACCTCCGATTATGCTCTTAGGAGTGTGTGTGTTTGCATTAGCTTCCTGGGTGAATACATTTCTCTTCAAGAGCCAGCTCATAAAGCTGGATGCTAAGCTTTTAGGGCGAACAATTATGTTTTTGAGTGGGATCTGGCATTTTCATGTTACTAGCTCCAAATCCAGGCTCCCAGTTATTAAAATGACCTACATGGGAGAGTTTGGCCCAAACTTCAGATTGTTTCATCTTCTTTGTAATGCCAGTCTTCAACCCAAAGTCTAGCCAGCTATCTCAGAGGGACTTTCTTTGTCTGAAGGTTAAGAGAGGTGAATTTATTAAGATAGAAGTAGGCCCACTCTGAGGAATTGTTGATAGCAACCAACAAGATGAAGGTTGTTGCTGCCTATTTTCCACTTGCACACAGATTAAAGATCGCTGTGAAGTGGAGATTGGTACAAATACTAATTTTGTTGGAAGGCACTTTACTGCCATATTGTTAGCACATCCGCACAGATGCAGATGGCATTAGCTGACGAGCTTTCAGCAAGATGTGATTCACAATGGACTAAACCTCTAGACTCCGAATCAGTTGAGATCAACATGACTCCGCCTGTCTCAATGCACTCCATTTTCTGAAATTTATCTTTTAACAGAAGTATCATCTGCAATGTGGCAGTGAAGGGACAATGTTTCCTCAGAAGAAATAGGCTCAAGGAGAGGGTAGAAGAGTTGTTTAGCCTGTTTGCACTTACTCACACCCTAAGCTAAGTCAGAGGTGAGGGGGTGGGGATTGAAAATGAGGCAGAAATAGAGGAAAACATCATTCTAACAACGGTCGCACAAGCCAACCAACTCAGCAAGCCTCAGGAACATGAAAGGCTCCTTGTGTAGTTTATAAAATGTGACCCAGAAACAGAATGGCCTGGTGACAGGGTTCTGTCACTTTCTTCTCTGGCGAAAAAGCTCATGTGGTAAAGATGACAAATCCTTTGATTATTTCATCAATAATATGGATGACTAAACAAGACCTGAATAGTGATAATACCAATAGACATGGTAAGGCAGGGGAAAACTTTACAGCGTCCTACACCCAAACAAAGAACTATAGGCAATTAATGATTACTGAGAAATGGAGAATTTTCCTCTCCCAGGATGAGCCCCCTGTTTATCCCTGAAATCATATACTCACAAGTAATACTCAACAGACTCAGCAGGTTGTGGTTATATAGTTGTTCATTTATATATGCATACATATGTGTAATTATTTAAAGAGGATGGCATAAATATGAGAGGGAGTGAGGAGGGGGGACAGGAGGGATTAGGGGGAGGAAAGAGAAGTGGGGAAGTGTTGTAATTATATTTTGATTAAAATAAAAATTGAAAATGAACACACCCTTTCTTTTGTCCCTTGGGAAATGGTTGCTGAATTACCCTCTATGATCACACTTGACTTTGTGCTAAGGTAGCAACAACAGATCCAGGCTTAGCAACTAGCAAGGGATGGAGCAAACTGCTAAAAGAGTATTAGCCAACTACAAACAGATATGAGGCTCCTTAACCTGATGGATGGTATCTATTAAAAACTCAAAGTTAAATGGGACATTTATATCAAGCCCCTCCTCCCAAGGCTCAGGGGTCATCAGAGCAAAGAGGGTAGAAAGAATGTAAAAGCCAGAGGCAGTGGAGCACTGTTACGGAACACTGTTTTCTGAGACATGACAGAGCAGCTGTGAATATGAACACACAGCAGTTGCGACGGTACATTCAAGACCGGATCAAGTCAAGGCACACAAGACCCCAGCATGGAGTAGGCCTTAGCTGAGAATATATTGGTAATTGGTGAGAGAAGGGCTCTCTCAGACTGCTGGGAGAGGGAGAGATAGAGTTTTTTTTTTTTTCAGATGTTGTCTCTTAGAGGCTACCCAGCTTCCAGTAGATGGTCCTACCCCTAAGCACTAAGTAGCCACAAAGAGAGAGAGAGAGAGAGAACAAGGGAAAGTGGCTTGGATGGGCAGGGGAGGATGTACAGGGAAGGCAGATTTGGTCAAAATGCATTACATACATGTATGAAATTCTCAATAAAAAGAGAAAAAACACATCATCCATACAAGCATGTATGGTCCTGAATATGCTCCTTTCAGAATGGAGTTCTGATGCAATGTTTTCTGAATACTAAATAGACTGTCACCTAGACGTGAACACAGTATAATCCAACCACTGTGCATGACGGCTGGAAAAGCAGCATAGTTAAATTTGAAAATGACGGACCTAGTTTTTAAATCCCAGCCTCACTATTAACTAGGCTTGCAACCCTGGGCAACTTTCTCAATTGTAAAGTGGAGACAATACAGTATTTGTCATGACATTAAAAACACTACGTTCTCACCCCCATTAAAATATCTCCAAATTTACCATCATATGGAATAGTGCAAGACTAGTCATCTTTGCCAAGATCAGGAACATAAGGATGTCTGTTCTGCCTATTTCTCTCTCTCTCTCTCTCTCCTTAAAAACATATTTTTTCAGAACTGAAGTAGAAATTCTATCTAGGACAATAAAGCAAGGAAATAACAAAACCCAAAACCCCCAAAACCAAACCAAACTAAACCAAGACAAAAACCCAAGGTGTAGAAAATAAAAACTACTTCCAGACATGGTTTTAAAATCTGAAGTGATCCCTTTAAAACCAGAGTTAATGAATGAGTTTAGAAAAGTTGTAAGATGTAACATCAGTATAAAAAAAAAAATCAACGTATTGCTAAAACCTAGCAATGGACAGCTGAGAAGGGGTTAAGAAAACAATTTTATTCACAGTAGCACCAAAAGGAATAAAAAACTTGGGAGCCAATTTAACACAGGATCATAGACAGGAAGGTAGCTCTAAGAGAAACTAGTGATGCAAAAATGAAGGTGTGTTTTATATCTGCGGAGTCGAAAACTTGATGCTTTGAATATGACATTTCACAATTTAAGATTTAATGTGATCCCTATCACCCCAACGTCCCTGGGATGGGTTTGGGAATATAGACTAAATCCTTATAGCATGATGAGCTGATGTTTAAAGCCAGCAAGATGGAAGAGATGCTAATCATTGTAGCAATGGGTGCAGAGAAACCAGATGTCCATGTATGAGAAGAATAAAGGTAGGGCCCCTGCTTTGCCGAGGCAAAAATAATAGTAATGATGACGGAAAACAATTCAAAAGCCTAAATGACAAAAACTAAGTTGTAAAAAAAATAAATAAATAAAACTACAAGAGAGTCAGGAGCAAACATTTGTGATCCAAGGCTGGACAATAATCCCCGACCCTTGACCTGACCCTTGACATCTACCATCCAAAGTATAAATAACTTAAGAAAAATAGGCATAATAGACCTCATAACTTCATGAGCTTCAAATGACAACACTCCAAACTGAAAAGACAAAACAAACACAAAAACAAAAAACCCTCACAAAAACACAAAGTGGGGAGGATCTGGAAGGAGTTGGGGGAAGGGAAATATGATAAAATATATTACACAAAAACTATTTTACTTGGAAAATAAATAAACATTTAAAAAATTAAAAAGACAATCTAAAGAACAGGAAAAAATTAACAAATAACATATAAAAGACTATTAATTAAAATATGAGAAGAACTCTTACAACTCAGAGCAAAAAGATATTAATATATAAGAGTTTCAAAATAAAAACAAAACAAGTTTCAAAATGCAGAAAGGATTTAAATAGGATAAAGAAAACATATGAGTATCCCATAGTCAATGGGAAAGAGGCTCAGCATCAGTTGTTATTAAGGAAGTGCCAATCAAACCCACAGTGAGATACCAGTTCAAACCCACAGAAACAAACATTAGCCAGTGCTATTCAAACTCTAATTCACTGCTGGGGGAAGACACAACAGGCAAGCAGCTCCCAAAATGTCACTTAGAATTACCATGTGGTCCTTCAGGCCCATCCCTAGCTGTATAGCCAAGTGAAGTGAAAACATATGTTCATCTCAATGCTCATCCACAAACATTCACGATATGATTATTGGTGATAGCCTCATAGTAGAAATAACTCCAACATCTACCAATTGTTGAGTGATGAATCAAATATGGTATGGCATCAGTGAAATACTTCTTGGAATGGTCTGGAATAAATAGAATAGAACAAACAAAGGCCTATAATTATACTAAAACCACAAATGCAACATGGTGTGTGTGTGTGTGTGTGTGTGTGTGTGTGTGTGTGTGTGTGTGTGTGTG